TTTTTTTTTTTTTTTAAGAGGAAAGGGAATTAGGGAAGACTATCAAAGGATGGCAGAAAACAATGTTTTGGTATTCTATAATTGAGGTTTCAATCTAAAGCAAAGCTGGAAAATGTCTCTCCAGTGAACATTTAGCCATTGGAGTTTTGCTACCCCCCAAAATTTAATAGTAGAGAAAACATCTATAAGACGCTATAAGCCTTACTTCCTTCTTAGCCAAGCTTGATATCTGGAAAGAGCAGAAAGCTCTCCCATCAACCTCTACCAGTACAGATTGTAGACAGCTGTACTGTGGCTGTAAAGGGGATCCAACAAAGGCAATGTGGGGTAGGGTGAGGGGAGACAGTAAAGACGCGTAGAAGATAAAGGAAGAGTCTCTGTCTGAAATTCCATTTTCATGTTTTCCTGTTTCTTTGCAGAAACCCGGGATGGACGTGGCCGATGCCTACGTGACTTTTGTCCGCCACTCTCAGGATGTCCTGCGTGATAAGGTCAATGAGGAGATGTATATAGAAAGGTTATTTGATGTAAGTAAATGCCTTCTCCTCCTTGAAGATCAAGGAGGAGACCCTCCAAAATGTGACAAAATAAGAGACAGGAGGATAAGTCACATTTTGAGAAAATGGATTGGTCCCAATTCAAACAAAATCTTTTCTTCTCCCTCTGCCTTAGGCTCTTATCTGTCCTGCATCTGTTCTGAACCCACTCTGGCGTGGCGGTGTCTTGGTCCCTATCTGTGTGATACGTAGGACAATGCGCAGCCTTGCAGCGAGCAGGCTGGAGCCTGCACAGAGCTTGTGAGGCAGCTTTCTCTAACTGGCAAAGACCCTTCTTGGTCATGGTTCTTCTCCTGGCAATCTGGCCCCTCTTTAGGGCGATGTTCTCATCGGGAGGCTGAGGCCAACTCCCTCCCCTGGAGGTGGTACCTCTGGACACCAGCTGTGGCATGCAGATACGAAGTGAATATCGCATTGTTACCACTTCAAAGATGCTTCTGTTTCTGGAAGATTAAAAATCCTCAGTCCTGGGTTTCGTAAACACTGATGCCAGAGTTGCTCAGCTGTTACGATTCTAAACTGTAGTGCCCCTGCCCACACACCCACCTGAAAATCTGTGAGAATAAGCTGGTGTACAAGCAAGTACATTGTGCTGGGAGACACAGATTTAAACTTTTCCAAAAACATACGTTTCTGAGGGTTAACTGATATCAAGCAATCTTATTTCCACTGTGACTACATCTGCACTGCCAAAGCAAGTCACTGAGGCAAAATTAATGAATTAAAGGAATCTGCTTTGGTCTCAAAGTACTTGCTTCTTTCAGGCCAAAGCAGATCGAGTTGCCTAATTGAGCCAGATATTTTGCTTCAGGTTTCCACCAAATTTGCCAGTGTAGACCCAGCCAGAATGCATGGAAGCCGATGTATCTGTCTCCGTGTGGCTCTAATTGTGCAGCATACTTTTGTCTCGTGAAGTACGAGCCCCTTCTGTCCAGGTTTCTGTATTTTTAGTGCCAGCCCAAACATGAATGTTTTGGTCTACTATGGAATCCATGTTTCTGTATTTTTTCTGTGATTGTGTTCAGTTATTTAAATTGAGTTTTTTGTTGCTGTTGTTCTCATTCCATAGCTAACCGAGCTCATTGTTGGCACTGCTTTAGGATTTTGCGGCTTCTGACTTTTATATGCTTTGTCTTCCAGCTCATTTGCTTTCCTTGTGTGTTGAAAAGGCTCCTTCCCGTTTTTCTTTCCCAGTCATCCTCTTTCTGTGCTCGAAACCCCTCTCTCCTCTGCATCACCTTTCTTTGAGAAAACCTTTCTTACTTTGTTAATTCCCACCCATCCTCTCTTTTGGATTAAAATGGAACTTATCTCTCATGTCAAATGTTTTATCACATTATATCAAGTGGCATGAATTAGAATCAAATAATCTTCCTGTGTACATCTTCTAGCATGACCCACATCCACTGAGAATGCCTCATACATGCATAAAGCTCACCAGTGGGTCCTCCCCCTTCTCTGCATGCATGCCTTTATGGGAGTTCAGAGCCTAGAATGTTTGGGGCACAATCACCCATCCAATAGGCATTGAAAACAGACAGGCCGCGCCCTCGGCTCTGAGATAGGAATGTGGACATTCTGCCCATCTCTGCCAAATTAAAATTCCAAACCACAAAATTTCAAGAAGCCTGTGGATTGTTCTTTTCAATGCCTAGGTTGCCTTTATTATTATTATTATTTTGGATCAGTATTTTCTAATTCTCAGTTTTGTGCAGCCCGTGCGTGTGTGTGCGTGCGTGTTCCTGTGTGAGTGTGTGTGCGAATAACCTCATGCTCTTTAAAACTTAAAAACATCTAGTACTGAATTGGATGTTTAATCTGCAGTTTAGCCTGTCACTTCATTGACAAATAACCTACCCTTCACTGTTTCTTTTCTTAATTAGAAGTGCAGAGGGAAAAAATAAATAAAATTAAGTAGACTCGTTAAAGGCAGCAAGACAAATTGTCCCCTTCTGTGGCTCTTTTTGAGGCAAAGTACAACCAGAGTTTGATTTAAGAAGTAAGTGTACAGCCTTGGCTAGCACAGATGGTAAAACTGGACTTGCCAAACTGCTGAAGAACACAAGCAAATCCAAGCTCCCCAACCTTTCATTTGAATGAATAATGCAAATAAATATTACTAGGAATATGTTTTTCAAAAAGAAAACTATGTTTAGGGTCATTCAGAAATTCACAAGGATCTCCAATTTCTTGTTGAGTAACACTGACCAGCCTATAATGGCTTTAGTATCATGGAAACCCCCAAGATTTAGTCTCATGCTGTCCCAATTATGTTTTCTCAAGGGAGTCTTAGTTACACTCTCCTGACTATCTGATTTAAAGGCTTAGCCATTAGAATCATTTTGGGTGCATCACTCCACCCCCATGGGGGGAAAAATCTTCAGGGGTTCATTTAGACAGAACAAATTTCTTTGCCATTTACTTTCTTACTTTCCTGATAACCTGCTCCCCTAATTTACAGAATATTGGTGCTAGGCAACCTAACTGATGAAGTGCAAAAAAAGTTATTGAATCTGTCATGGATTTAAAACATTTGTCATTTGAAAAGCCCAGAGCTTCTCAAAAGCTTCATTACCATGCAGTATCAGTAATTTAATTCAGTACTTACTGTTTTTCTATAATCTAGCAGCAAAACATCAGATTACCAACATGTTTGATTATTTTCAGCTTCTGTTTCCTCAAGCATGGTGTTTATTTCTTTGCATATATGCTCTGCAAGATTATTGTGTTCACTGAACAAGGGAATAGGAATATTAAGGCAGAAGGGTCTGTGAAACCTGCCACCTTAAATTTCTTTTTGTCATTAACTTATTCTTTAAACTTCATTCCTTAATGATAGTGGTCCTGGGACAGGTTTCTAAACAATTGGCAGACATCGATTGAGAAAGATTTGTTGATCTGTAAGGTTTCTCTTCCAAATTGTTGCATTTTGATAAATGGCAAAAATGAATAATAGAAAATTAGCATTTTGAATGAAGAAAAATATATACATATATCTCCTTCAAGATTGTTTGCTGTTTGTGGGGGGGGGTTGTTGGTTCTGACTGTTGTGTCCTTCTCTGGGTTTCAGTTCCTGCTGGCGTCTGTCATTCCAAGGCATGTTCTCAGGGTTCCTGTTGCGTTTTAAGCTGTTTCAAGTCTCAGTTTTATTTACCTGTTAAATTCTTTAAGTCCTTGCTATTTGATTTTGTTCTTTAATACATGTATGTATATGTATGTATGTATATACCCTTTTGAGTTTGCCCTTTTAGTAAAGGCTGGATGGCATTTAGTGTTTGTTTGTTTCTGAAGGCATTTGGCCTAATAGCTGGTCATTTATTGAGGGCATCTTCTGTTTTAACTGTTTTAACAGTGCTCTCTGAGCCGGTTTTTTCTCTGCCTCATCATTGTATTTTTGGCTGGAAGTGGATGCTTGTGGGAGATTATCGGGATAACATTTGGGGCTCTATTTTGATGTTCTGCGTTTTTATCTCTTTTATTATGTAACTGAAGAGCAGACTTTACAAATTCATCCTCACTGATTTTTTTTTTTTTTTTTAATAATCATTCTCTAGTTTATTGAAGAAATATAGTCATACATAAAGTTGCCTAACAGGTTTTTTTTTGATGCGGTGAAAATTTCCTCTGTTTATCAGTGTAATTGATTTATATAATCTTTCTATGCAATACTAACAGCTTCTTTGATAATACACCTAAGGAAACATCTAACCCCTCCAAAATAAAGTGCCATTGGAAAAGAATCCTCAAACTGCTTCTCCTAGTATTTCCCATGTGTAGCTGTATATTTTTCATCTGTTTCTCTAATTTTTTTCTAAAACAACAAAGTACAGTCATAAACTTTATCTAAAAATAAAGTACAATCATAGTTTCAGTTCCTGCAAAATAGCAATATATAGTATTTTGAAACAAAAGATTCCGAGATTTAAACAGGAGAATCATCTGTACAATGACAATGAATTTAAATTGTATTAAAGATGCTAAATATTTAAAAGAAAATGAGATTGCCGCAGGGCTGAAGTGGATGCTTGGCCTCCTTGGATATTTTTGGAGACTTTGAAAGGAAATAGAAAACACTGATATGAAGTAAATCTTCATATTCCTAAAGCAGCAGCTAAGGAGGAAAACAGGCTCAAGGAATAACTTGAAGGCAGCGATTTAAAGCTGGAGTGTCCATAATCATGCAGATGGCTTTCCCCCCCTTCTCTGGTGATTAATTCAACATCTTCCCCAAAACAAAAACATGCTTTTTGAAATTAGAGATCAGATCATCAAGAGAAGCACCTAAGATTTCGAGGTCTAAACAAAAATTAATTTATTTCTTTCCTCCTTGTACTTCTTGAAGACACAGACTGAGGAGAAAATCAGGATTAAAAGAGATGTGCTTAGAGTGAATTCATCTGCTTAAACCTCACAGGCTCAGAGATGAATGATTAAAAAGCCATCTCAAACTTGGATGGAATCCACATTGGTCGTAATGCCTCACTCGCGATCGCTTTCTTCAGGCCCCGTGTCATTGCGAGCCTGGCCCAGGGAACATTTGACCAGAGATGATACATGGATTATATAGGTCAATTATATACTTAATCTGCCTTCTGAAGGATTAAGTATTCACCGATTGACTCTGCATTTGGCTTCTCTGTGGCAGTTATCAGATCAGGAAAAGGCCCCATACCAAACTGCCTGGTAAGAACTTAATCAGGCAGCTCCGGCAGTTCGGATGGGGCTGCTGCTCAGCATTCTTTGCCTGGCACAGATTTTCATTTGCTCTTTCATTATCAAATTGTGTATTTATCCACTTTATGTGTCACCACAGTAATTGAGTGTGAATATTTCCCTTTAAAGGGGTAATTTGAAAACTAAAGCCTCTGCCTATTTAAATGTATTTACTGTACTTGTATGTGAAAGCACAGAATGCCTTATTTTAATAACCTTATTAAATTACAGAAGTACTACACATGTGAACATATGTT